CACGTACGTCCCAAGTATATCTCATAGTGAGGTCATTAGAATACGAGTGTTCTGTCACGTTTGCCACCTCATCGGCAAGAAGAAAATTGGTCTATAGTAAGGAAAACAAACCCGAAACGCTGATTACCGTGAATCACATTGAAGCACAACTAAAAAGAGCAGTGGAGGGCAAGAAAATTGGCCCTTCAGTTTGCAGATCACATGAGCACTTCTAAGCATGTGAGAGGATTCCCTCCACTCGCCATTCCCACAAGTTCGTTGAGAGTTGTGCATTTGTGCCGCACGCGCGGGTGTTGTAATACTATTCTGCTGCATGTTTCTACGCTATGTTTCTACGCTAATAAGCAAATTCACCCGCTTGTTTTACACTCATCCTGAGAATTCTCGCGGGGTAAGAATTTAGTAGCGTATTAGCAGCTGAGCTTGAAACATCACTTGAAACATCCGCTATGGCATCAGCTTGACCGAGATCGTAGCGTATACAAGTGGATTAAACCTGAGGCATGGGCTCCTCGATTGTTTGTCTGAATTCAGGTATTTCATTTTAGACGATAGGGCGTGCAGAAAGGCACACAAGGAGGAAATGAGGACATCATTAAATCATATCAAAAACAGGGGACCTACACCCTGTGTCCATCTTTGCGCGCCATGTCTTTTGGTATGAATACGTAACCAGTAGCTCTCCGCTATGGTATTCTAAGCTTTACTAGGTCAATCCCCATCTTTAAGAAGTGATCTTCATGACAAAGAGCAAGCCCGTCCGTTGACGCCAACAAAAACACGCGGTAGTAACAGCGTTTCAAATGCGGTGTACCAGCAGACAACACAACTCATCATCCTATAACTGCGATCACGATGTAGAAAGCGCCACGCTATGTCCTTGAAGCCGATTGGGAATGATTGCCAAGTCGTGAGTTCATGCATTTAAATCATTAAGTTATCTACCTCTTTCTCCCATTTATATGGCAACTTTGAAATCAACAAAGTATTTAACTTCGCAAACACTCCTTTGGTCTCATAATCTACTGGTTAGTAGGAAGGCCAAATGTGGCACATGCCAACATAATACACGCAAGCAATTACAGAAGCGATAAGGCAGAACAAATTTCAATTATAAAAAAACACATGACTCAATATGGCAGGGAACCGTAGAGTAAATAACCCCATACATTACTGTAACAATTAAAAAATCTTTATATATATATATATATATATATATATATATATATATATATATATATATATATATATATTCAGTATCATAGAAAAACTATTACGTATCAAATCTGTCGATATTAAATGCTAAAAAGCATCGAGGTGAAACTTTATGAGCCTTCGATTATAGGCATTTCTGGACAATGGTAATATAAAGCATTTGTTCACTGCAGCACTTGCACATTGCGCAGGTATCGTGATTGTGCTTACAGGAAATGCGTCATCATGTCTTATTATTGTGTGCACTACATCAGCAAGACGGCTGACGTAAACACGTGAACAAAGTACAGTGGTAAAATATATGTTAGAACAGCTTTCCTACAGTGCGCAGGTAACGTTAAGGTGCCTAATTGGTTTACTTCATATTTTATAAATATTCTGTGTACTAAATAAGCAACACTGGATACGCGAACACGTGAGCAGAGTCCAGTGATTGTATACGCACATGTTGTAACAAATATTTTATAGCGTACAAGTAACGTAAAAGTGCTATTCGGACTGGGTCATCATGTCTTATTATTCTGTTCACTACATCAGCAAAAGTGCAGGCGTGAACAGGTGGAAAAAAAATTGCCCGCAGCTTCCCTCGGGGGAACACTGAGGAGGATGCGGAGCATATAATTGGTTAACGGGGTGTTAAAGTGCGACTTACTTGGGTCGATGGCTAAATTGGTTAACGTGGTTGTGAAATGGGGTGTTAAATTGCGACTTACTTGGGTCGATGGCTAAATTGGTTAACGTGGTTGTAGGAGGGGGTGTTAAATGAGTGAACACGTACACACGTATGCGAAAGGACGGCGCTGGTCGAAGGGACGTCGATCATTGTGTTTGTGGATTCGTTGGAATTCATTTCACCGTGACCTTGGACGTCGACGCGCCGTACAAACCAACCGACGAGCGGCAACTGAGTGAGCGAGCGCCGACCTTGAGTATATATACAGCGCTACGGCGCATGCACTGTCAGCTGTTGAATGTTCTCGAAGGAGAAGCGCGCGCGCGGCACAGATGGCGACGGCGCGACGGCGCATGCGCTGTCAGCTGTCGAATGTTCTCGAAGGAGAAGCGCGCGCGGCACAGATGGTGGGCGACGGCGCGACGGCGCATGCGCGCGCGTCAGCTGTCGAATGTTCGAGAAGCGGTGCGGACGGCGCACTACAAGGCGAGTGTATAAGATGCTTCCGCATCTAAAAGTCCAGTAGCTGTGTACATGTTAGAACAACTATCCTACAGCGTGCAGGTAACATAAAGGTGCTTAATGGGAAAGGGTCAATGTGTGTTATTATTCTGTGCACTAAATCAGGAACACTGGAGACGTGAGAACTTGAACAGCGTCCAGTGGTTTTATGGAAAGTTTCAAGGTCAGAAATCTTGTTCCCCCAAAAACTTCCGGTCACCTCATTTTTGCAGCTCCTAACGTCAAAACCGAAAGCACATTTTCAAGCTCTTTTCAGGGGTAAAGAATGTCTCTATCGTTTTTCACATAAAAAGAAGCTGCGTGAAGTACAAGAAAATGTATTATAATTTTTGTGTAGCTCAAAACAACATTTATTTGAATATGTTTAGCTGAAACGCTCATTGATTTCAGTAGAAACTGCGTGGCCCTTCTGCAGACTGATGATTTTGTTTCGATTTTAGGAGAGCCTTTGATAAGGTTTCTCATTTTAAATTACTTTTCAATCTTCAAAGATTAGGAATAAGAGAATAAGTATGAAAATGTATAGAGGCCTATTTATGCGCACGTCAACAAGCTGTAAAAATTGAAAGTTACACTTCAAGACCACTGACTGTGTACTCGGGCGTTCCCCCAGGATCTGTTTTAGGACCAATTTTTTTTCTTATATTTCTTAATGATCTATGTTCAACAGTTGAGGCTCCTATTAAAATAAAATTTTTTGCAGATGACTGCTTGATTTATTCGCCGGTCACTTGCGAAGGTGACCAAGTTAATTTGAACAGGCACTAAAGGGCATTAGATCAGTGGTGTAAAATATGGGACATGGAAATAAACTATCGCAAGACGACATTTACGCATATTCACTCTAGTGGGCGGAAATTGCCATTCATGTATCACATCGGAAATGACCCTTTAAATAATGCCGCTTGTTTCAAATACCTTGGAGTTAGTATTGTGCACACATTGAATTAGCACTCGCATATCGATGACTTCTGTTCTAAGGCAAACAAAAAGCTTTATTTTGCGAAGAAAAAACTGGAACATGCCACACCGGATGTAAAACTAACTGCTTACAAAACATTCGTACGTTTTCTCTTAGAGGACGCTAGTATTGTGTGGTAGCCTCAGGAGAAGGCGTTGTGGACAAAAATAAAAGAATACAAAAATTAGCCGTTCGTTTCCTATGCGGTAGATACCGACGCACACACTCAGTCACAGCTTTGTTAAAATCCAGCGAGCTTGATTATTTGGAATATCGCAGGTGCAAACATCACCTCATATTTCTTTTTAAGTTTATAAGCGGCAAACAAAAATAAATAAGGATTTTTATCTTAAGCCCCCTCAAAAGTGATGTGATCGTCTTATTAATAGTAGAGCAATTCAACGTTATTTCACACGCATGAATGCTTTCCGCCCCTCCTTCTTTCCAGACACAATAGATATGTGGAATAATTTACCCAATGCGGTTGTGCCACAAACAACGGCAGTAAATTTTGATAATGCATTAGACAGTTTTTTTTTGTAATGATGCGTGCTAAATTCTGTTGTGAGCATTTATTCGTTGATTTTTATGTGTATAGTCACTGTTATTTGTCTCTTATTTTTCTGTTGTTGGTCATTCATCTCGTATTTATATGTGCTTTTGATTTATTCTGTTTTGTGCGAACGTTATGTACTTTGCGACACCCTCCCAGTAATGACCCCAATCACGGGGTTGACAGTATCAAATAAATAAAAAATAAATAAAAATATTCTGTGAATTATGGGAAGAAAACTGTAGAAAATAAGCGGGCTATTTTTAAAGCTTTCGTTGTCTATCGATGCTATTAGGGCACATCGGGTGCTGACACTAGATGTCTTCAAGTGGCTGTGTTTGCAAACATTGAAAGGGTCTATACCAGTTTTAACAGCTTTCCTACACTGGAGAGGTAACGTAAAGGTGCTTAATAAGATCGGGTTATTCTGTGTTATTCTTTTGTGCACTAAATCAGCAACACTGGAGACGTGAGCACGTGAGTGGGGTCCAGCGGTAGTCCACGCACATGTCGAAACAGGTCTTCTACAGCGCGCAGACGAGGCAAAGCTGAGTAAATTGAATGCGTCATCATGCACTATAATTCTGTGCCCTACATCAACAACACTGCAGACGTTAACCTGTGAACAAGGTCCAGTAGTTGTATACATGTTGGAACAGCTATCCTACAGCGTGCAGGTAACGTAAATGTGCTTAATGGGAATGGGTCATCATATCTTATTATTCTGTGCACTAAATCAGCAACACTGGTGATACGAACACTTCAACAGCGTCCAGTGGTAGTATCCACACACGTTGGAACTGTCATTTTGTTTTACACGTTATCTTCTAGAATGCAATACTCTTAATCGTCCTCTTTCAAAGCATGTGATGCATTTCAAAGGGTTTGATATGTACTACTCCGTGATGCTATGCAGTTGCTCAATTAAAGGACGATGCACCGATGCAAAACATGGGATGCGGAGGAAACAGGAAGCTACAATCATGGCATTAAGCGCAGCATTCGTTATGACTATCTGTCTTTCATGCATAAACGTGATCCTTCGCTCGTTTTTTTTTTTTTTGTGCATGACCCAGGCCTTGGTTCGGCATACGTATGGCTGAATATGCGGAGAGTGCAGGGGTTCTTCCACTGGCTAGACCCTATTCCTCAACTGTTCAGGTACGTATTTTGGAATCATGTTGTACCTTTCAACATTATGCAGGGAGTTTTTTTAAGCAAAACAGATTTTTCCTTAGAAACTATAATAGTTTGGCACTTTCCGTCTTCACAGACAAATTTTAGGTCGTGGTGGAAATATTTTGCTAGTAATTTGATGAGCCAGAATTGATAAATGAGGAAAACTTCACAAATACATTTCGGGTAATTCCACGCCAAACATCCCAATAATTTTGATGACTATCCGAAATATATTCTAAAAAATTTGCTGATTTAATTCATTAAAAACAGTGAATTGGTAGAACATTTCGGAGAAAAAAAGTTTTTGGTCACGTGGTTTTGAACTTTTAAACATGTCGTTAGGGTGTTGCTTGTGATAAAAGTTATTTTAAAAGTGCCGCTTTCTTTTCGCACATGAAATTTTGTTTGCATATTAAGTAAATATGTTTGTGTGAGCTGTTTGAATCTGAGTACCATTAGACCAATATTTCTGCCACGTATGTATCTAAGCATTTACCTAAAGTGTTTTGAGTTTGCATTTTTCCTTATGACAATACTGCACTTATTTATAATATCTGAGCAATGAATATTTACTCCACAGAAAGTATATTTTGCAGAAAAAATTTTTCAAACCCCTCAAGTCGCTAAACTTTACGAGAAAAATCCTGCAATTAACAAACTCACAATTTTTGTACAGATTAGGACACAATTTGCACCATAAGGTGGTGTAACGAAAATCACCTTTACCCTAAATCAAAATCAGATAAATGTTTTTTTTATATGGCAAGTTTGAAGATTACAACTTTTGTTTAAAAAAATGAACTTTTTAAGTTCCCTTCGATGGCAACGGGGAAGTTCAAAGTGGAAGCCATCGTATAATCAAAAGAGAGATAGCCGTCACAAGGAAACTTAGAACATTATTTTCTTCTTTAAAACAAAATTTGTAGTAATAAAACATGCCGTACAAAAAGAATTGTTTTTCGCTTTTGATTTAGGTATAAAGTTGAGTTTTATTTCGACCACCACGTGGTGCAAATTGTGTCTTTATGGGGACGAAAATGACAATTTTGTATAATACAGAATGTTTTCTCGGAAAGTTTTGCTAAGTGAGGGGTTTAAAATACATTTTTTTTAAATTACCTTCTGTGAAGTAAGTATCCACACACCTAACTGGCAGTCATTCTAAGTATCTAATGCTCAGATATTTGTGCAATGTGTGCTATTGTCATTGAAAATGCAAAAATAAAACGATTTGGCTAAATTCTCAGAGGTGCAGGTGCAGAACAATTGCACTAACAATACTGACCTTAAAACATTATTCACAAGAACCTTTACTATTTATGTAGACTAAAGTTGGTATAAAAAGAAGGAGCGGTACTTTTATTAAAATTAATTTTTCCCAATGAAAACCCGGGAGACATCATTGAATATTCACAAGGTGCTCTGGTGACAAGTTCTTAGTTTTCTTCAAAATATTCTAGCGATTCTCTGTTTTGAGTGCAGCAAATCAGAAAGATTTTTTAAGACATTTAAGATGGTCATCAAAATGATGGGACATTTGACGTGAAATGACCACCTTTGATTATCAATTTGAGGGTAGTTGTTTACGAAGAAATATTTGCATGTCAAAAATTATGGTGAGCCTAGGTTGAAATATTCGTATATATCCCACGTTTGAGAGATGCATCGTAGAATTTCAAGACCGCGATGCGGGAGAAACCCAAACTTACGCACTTGGGGACCGAAAGGGTGCTCCCTGTGTTGCGTCACGCGGCAGCACAATGTGGGTGTGTTTTGTTGATTTATTTTTACCGCAAATCGCAGTGAGCCGCGAGACAAATCTACCTCTGTTTCGCATGTGTTCGTATTTTCGTGCTTTGCGGATCGTGCACACGCCATCCGCGTTCCAGCGCTCGTAAAGCTGATTAATCCTCCGGCGTCAAGGGGAGACGCTAAATCCGACACATAACGCGTGAGGAACCGTTGCTCGGCATGTTCACGTAGGAACACGAAATTATTCGAATGACGTAAAGGGACACTCCAGCGTGTCTCAGCCCACAGACCGCCCTTCTGGCGCACCCGGTACGCTTTGGTTCAGTTTCTCCCGCATCGCGGTCAGGAAATTCAGTGATTGATCTTTGAAACTATGCGTAATATTCTCAGTTTTTAAAAACTGGGCTGGCTATAATTTGTGCTTTAAGAAAACTATCCCATATCAAACACCACCTATAGCATTGATAAAAAATGTGATTGAAATAATTGTGTTATTTCATCATTTCTGGGTTATCTAAATAGTGGCAAAATCTTTCCGCCTCAATCCCGGAAATTGTCTGTGATGACGAGAAGTTCCAAACAATTACAGTTTTAAAAAAATGTGTATTGCTTAAACACCATGTGTATTGCATTATTGGGCCACTGAAATAACTGAACTTTATTTATTCAACTAGTACTTTCTGGCGTGTATAAATCGTCTGCTAAAGGAAGAACACTTGTATAACACCATCAGATCGATATTCAATATATATAGAACGGGCGTTCTACTCTCTAGTTTGTTTTACAGGGTACAAGACATTATCAGCTCACAGCATCAATCGGTTTTTTGGCACAGTTGTTCGTCGCCGCCTACAGTGTCACGTTAAGGCTACCGCTGAGATTCAGAAAACGAACAGAAAAGTTTTTTGGTGGATTTGAACTCACGATTTCTGCGTGGAAAGCAAGCACTTTATTACAGAGCAATGCAAGTCGATTGTTTCTTTCCACTTAGTCCTAATTTTAAAAGTCCCTTTGGGAACACCTACTGTGCGCTCTATACTTCGTAAATCTAAAAGATTCATTGCGCATTGTGTGCCTTGCAATGGTACCTTCAGCAGTCGCCCTAAAAGACTTTATAGATGGCTCTATAGAGGCCGCGTTTCGCTCTAGTCTCCCCTTGGTGTTCAATAACTCTTATATGCCATGGGAGGGCGACACTGCCCATGCTATGCGTCCAACCAGTGACGCTTTTCTGACTGTCTCACCACTCTCTGTTAATACGCTCTCACCGTTAACTTCTACAGCTACCGATAGCTTCTTTGTCCCTGATCGTGCACTCAAGTCTTCGCGATCAAGATGCACCCACAAGCTTCGAGGTGGGCAAATGAACGTTTAATAGAACTAGATCAGCTAAATGCCAAAATACATTGTACAACCTCTTTTACAAAATTGTACGCTGAACACTAAGCTATTTCCATGAGAATGTGTTTTACTTTCGTTGTACATCAATTATTATGACAAAGGAATCAACCACGCGTTTTTTCTAAAAACACAGTATTAGTAATTTTGTATTGTCGTCTCCACAAAGGTCTAGGTGGTGACCACCATATCCTAGCAGCAAACTCAATACTTATAGAATGCATACTGTCTGGAGCAGAGGGTTCATATCACGCGCTGGTTGCAGTTCATGGAGCGCAGCACAACCTTCCCAGAGGATCTGTGTACGAGCTTTGTCTAAAGCCTGCTTATAATTTCCACAATGCGTGCACGCGCCACAATGGTTACCGCAACTGCAAATCCGGACTAGCACACACGCATGTGTGGGTGACGCACAAGGGCTCACGTGGCCTTGATAACTGGCTCACACCCGTCCGGAACAACTGGCGGAGTGTCAGTGCGTGTCAAAAACGTGGCAATTACTTCACGCCTTCATAAATTCATCCAACAACAAGACAAAAACTATGGACCAACTACAGAGTTTAACGCTTCTGTACAGAGATGACACGCATGATCTTTTCAAGAAGCTTGAACAACGTTCATCTCTAACGGTCCGCTTCTAAAGCATTCCAACTACTCAAACGAGAAAAAATATAACGGTGACGTGACGCAATTATCACTGTTTCAGTTTACGAGGTGCTTCAAGATCTATGTCGAAACACAGCACCAGGCGCAGATCACATCAGGTGTTTCACACTTTGACACGTAACAGAGTAATTCCGATCTGAATCATCTAATGAACCTGTTCAATCACAATTGTGTAACGGTACACTGCCACAGTTACGACGTTATGCTGACGTTTTCTTAACAGCTTAGCTAAACCAGGCGAGCCCCTTCCATAGCATATTTACGGCCGGTATCTCTCATCGTCCGTAGCAAAGTTAATGAAACACGCTTTGTGGTGTTTGCAGCTTTTTCTACATAAGTTTTATCCAACTCACAGTTTGAATTTCAGGCACATATCTCTACCCAAATGGTGTTTGTGCAGTTCAAGAAGGAGGTGAACATCCGTCGCGTGCCGAGATGAGGATCAAAAGAATCGAAAGTTGAGCTAGTTGGATATGCATGGTATACCTGTCGTTCAAGCGCAAAAATAAACAGAAAGAAAGAGACGGCAAGCGCTTTCTCACAACTAAACGATTTACTAAAAAGGGAAGAACATATAAGCAGGCAATCAAAAACAACGCATCAGTGTGCAGGCAAAAAGTGCACCCGTGGGAACTCGAGAACACAGGGTAAGGCAGAAACTTTATCAAGAAAAAGTTATCTCGAAAAACAAACTCTTTATCGTGGAGCAAAACCGAAGGCTGGCTGAGGCATTGTTCTCCTCTTTTTCTTATGTAAAAAGCTTCCATCAACTCACGAGTTATTTATTGTTAGATTGAAAAACCACTTTAGTATCTTGAAAAAGAGGATATCAACCGCACTTTCTGCAATAAACCACGAAATGCGATGCCCCCGACGATTTCAAAGAATAATCGTGCTCTCTAAGACGATCATTATTGCACCTACCCGACTGACCTATGTACACTTTACCACAGCTAAAAGACGTCATGTAAACAATGCCCGATGCGCAGTCCGCGAAGCTTTTGATGTGTTTCATGCGACATTGCGGAAACTCTCGGCGCATGCGCGAACAAATGGACTCCAGTTTACTTTTGGCTGAGAATAACACATGGACTTTATATCTCTTAACAAGTTGCTCAAGTTTATGCGATGTGTTATGAGGGTAAGGAATTACTGCTATCCTTCTA